GTGATCAAGCATTTATTTATTCTTAAATTTGCATCAATTATAAGTACTCATCTATGTAATCGACACAGTTAAACATTTTATAAATTAATGTTCCACATTCAAAAATAGAATTGATTTTACAGTTGAAATCGCAGTAGATCTTCGGATAAATTACACTCACATTCCTTAACATTTGGTCTTATTGTACAAATATCTTCCCACATTTTAAAAATTACACTAAGACCCTTTGACTTTTGAAACTTATATCAATCAAACTCCCTCCAACTAACAACATTGGAATGATTCACGTCACAGCTGATGTCATCGATATTAATTCCTAAAATATCAAAAATGCCCTCCAAATATATATTCTTCTCCCCAAAATTTCATTTCATCTCTCATTTATTAAAATTTTTTCAATCAAATGTTATATTTCACATTTAAACTAAAATTAAATGTTGAATTAATCACCCATCGCCGCCTCCACACCAAAAACCACCACCATACTTCCCTAAAAATCACCACCACCATACTTCCCTAAAAATCACCACCACCACCTCCTCCTCCTCTCTCTCTTTCTCTCTCTCTCTCTCTCATGCACAGAGCACCACCACTGGTAACGGAGTAATCCTATCACCGGTCCACCACCTCCACAACCACACAACACACACACAACCACCACAGTCCAGCAACCCCACCACATTCTAGTCCAACACCTTCATTTTCACCTCCTCAACGACACCACACGCAACCCAACAAGACTGTTAACTCCGTCTTTGATCAATTTTACCAGTAAGCATGTGGTTTTGTAAATTGAAACGTCTTAGTCAAAACAGGTTCCGCAATCTCCACTTTTTCTGCTGCAAAATCTACATACACTTCTCTTACTCACTTTCCCTTTTGAAAGATACTTTACAAATCTAATTCCAAAAGCATTCAGAAACATAGAAATTGAGTAGAATGTACCGAGCTAGTTCCACAGTAATGGTGGTTCTTCTTCTTTATTCTGGTTCTTGTTTAGGATTTTCCTACCAAGTTCCGTTTGGGAGCCTTTTGGGGCCATTTCTAGATGGGGGACAAAAAGGGGAGACTACCAAGAAACAGCAACAGCAACAGCAACATCTATCATCTTCTTCTGATGACCCAGTTCTGGAATCAACAGAAAATATGCAACAGCCGCAGTCGCACCACCAGTCACTGCCGGTGGCGGTGGTGGTTTTCCGGAGCCCTGTTTATCTCTGCTCCCTTGTACATCCCTAGTGGTGCAAGTTTAGGGTCCGCCGCTCCAAAAACAACAGTTTGAAGGTGTTAATCCAAAAAGACCAAGATACGCTAGCGGTCAATGGAAGCTCATACCCTCTTTTTTTTAATTTTTAGCTCATAACCTCTTCATCTCAACAACAGCAGACCCAGATCTACGCATCGAATCCTTTCAATTTCTCATATTTGGATGGGGTAGCTATGGAGGGTATTGCAGTGGTGGGGGAGGGTTTAGCAATTTTCACTGGTTCTTCTATATATATATATATATATATATATTTTAAGATTAGCAATTTTAGTTGTCTCTATAAAGGGTCACAATAAACAAGGGTCACTACCCCAGAAATAAAGCTTGGGGGCTAGAGTTCAACGTCTCATATACAAATGTTTTGTTTTTCCAACTTCTAAAAGAGGAAATAGAGTTGAGTCTTGCCGATATTTAAGATAGTTCACTTACATATTTTCTCCCTTAAAAATATTACATCATTTATTTTATTACATGTTCAATTATTTTAATATTTAATTAATTTATAGTTAAATATAATTTTTATTTTAAATATTATTCATATGCAATAGTATACATATGTTAAAATTTTTTATCAAATTACATATTTAAAAAAATTATTATTTAATATAATAAAAATATTTTTTTTAAACGTTCGAATTTTATATTTCATCAAAACTTCGGACACGGGATATTGAGCAGTATATATACAAGTTTGATTTGGTGCAAGACAAAATGCATATATACTAGCTTCTTGTATTTGCTCTCTCTCTCCGAATAGAGCCAACAGAAAAAATGGCATACAAAGCTGCTTCTTCACCTACATTCATCATCATATGCTGCTTTTTCATGATTTCACTCATTATTCTCCAACTAATGATGTCTGCGAGAGCAACAGGCCCCAGTCACCGTTATGCAGGTAGATGCATGTAGAACCCTCTCTCTCTCTCTCTCTCTCTCTCTCTTACTTCCCGTTTATTGTTCTCGCCGGTTTGCGTGTAGGAGGAAACCGTTCACCTGAAGCCCCTCATTTACGTGGCATGGATCCCGCCTGGTGTCGAAGAAAACGGAATGTTGAAAAAGATGGCATCCGTCCGTAAGTTGGAAAAGAAGAAAAAAAGGCCTTAAAGTTGGGGTTCTAATTCTACGTGTTCGAAGCGAGAAAAGACGGAGGTTATGTTCTGTTTAATTAAGTCAATAAATTATATTTAAATAATATTACTTTTCTAAAAATTAGTGTTCTCAAAAGAAATAATTTCATCACTATTTTGTAAGCGTTTGCCGGCTGGAGAATTCACCGAGAGTTGGACTCTTTTGGAATGACAAAGAGAAAATAGGGCTCTTCTACTGGAGAGTTCACGAGTCTTTTTTTGTGAGAGGAGAGAAACAAGAAAAAATTGGTAAGGAATAATGGTTTTTAAGGGGAAAACCATAGTAGTCCGTCCCGTAAAATGAATGAAAAAATTGAAGAAAAGAAAATGAGACTATTGAACTTTCAATCAGTAGAATCATTTCTTCCTTTGTGTTTGATAAAGAGTGTAGAAAGTAGAAATGATTGATTTGTTTGAGTTTGACAATGTCAAAAAAATATTTTTTTTATTTTTTATTTTTTAAAAATTTAATTTTTTTTTACTTTTTTATTTTGTATTTAAAAAAAAAAAGATAAATATATATTTTACTATTATATCTATGTATGAAATTAATGTATCAATAATATGTAATTGATAAATATGATATATATATATATATATATATATATATATATATATATATATATATATATATATATATATATATATAACATACATTTCAATACACATAATTAACTTTTCATCCATCTTTATTTCCAATTTTGGAGTGATTGATTCATTTATCTTAACGTTTTTTCTATTTTCTTTCCTTACAAAACATGATATTTTATTTATCCTTTAAACTTTCTATCTTTCCTTAGACTAAAAATAAAAAAATTATTTTTTCATTGTACCAAACAAAACAAAAGAAAATACCAAAAAAAAAAAAAAGAAGAAGATAAAAAACATGAACCATATCAAATTATAGAATAGTGACAGTAAAATATTTTTGACACTAAATAAAAATTTTAATGGTGACCAAAAATATTACCTTCGAATTGTATTTACCGACAAGAATAAATAATGGTCACGTTTTTTTTTCCAAATTTTTAAAGAGGAAAGAGAATCGAGTCTTGCCCTTACATATATATAGTTTTATTTGGCGCAAGACCAAGGATGCCTCAGCAATATTTGGAGTCTAAAGCAATTACAGCAAATGAGACTTTTTTATTTTCGTAATAATAATTTAATTTTTCAATTTAAAATCTATTATTTTTACTTTTTAATAAGATTCGAAATTGCTAATTTTTTTTTTATTCAGATTTTACTAATATATTTTTTTTGATTAATAATATGACTTTTGATCATAAATATTTATAGGAATAAAACTAATTTCTTCATTAATATTTATATATTCTTTTTATTTGTTTTATATGTTCTTTATTAAAACTGTGGTATTAGATAATTAATTTTATTAGAAATAAATTCATTGTTATCTTTCTTTTGAATTATTTACTATCTTTAAATTTTATTTATTTATCTATGCAACTTTCTTCTAATTTTTTTTTATATTTTATTAGTTAGGAATAAGAACTTTATTAAAATATTTTTTTAATGAGAATGAATGGTTTAATTGAGGTTGTGCGTTCAAATGAGAGAAAAAAAAATGTTTAAAAGAAATAGAGAATGTGTTTGGTTTGAATTTTTTTTTTTTAACTAAAGATAGATGTTTATTACATTTCTTTCGATTGAAAAAAGAGATAAATTTTGTCAGTATTTTTTTTTATTAATTCTTTTTTGTTCTTTAATAAATGTGATTGAGTGATGTGATTTGGACTTTTGGGCTCAAATTTTTAATTTTTTTTGATAGTTTACTCTTTTAAAAATTATTTCGTTGCACTATTTTTTAGGGAATTTTATTTTTTAGCTTATATTACATTATGCATCTTTAAATTTAGAGCTTTTTTCATATGTGGGCCGAAAACCCAGGCTTTTATTTTGATTCTGTAGGGCCGGCCATGACTTCTTGTATTTATCATCTCTCTTTAAAGTTGGTGGTTTAGTGTAGTCAAAAAAAAAATATATATATATATATATATATATATATATCACTTTTTTGTAAACGTTATTTATATGAATCTTATTACATACACAATAAGTGTATGTGTCTATTTACTCCACAGGAAGGGAACAAGATACATCCCGAACGATAAGATGAAACAAATATTATTAATTGAAAACACTTTCTGCAATGCTTACTAATTTTTGAGAATTTGAGACCTCAATAGTTTTTTGTTATGAAAAATAAGACTTAAACGGGTGGTCCAGTAAGATATCGGCCAAACTTTTCATTGAAGTTTGAATCTTGGAGTTCTATTAGGACTCGCTGGTTGATCAGTATACTAATATAACTCGGTCCGTTCTCGACAGGAGTAATTAGCGCGATTAGAGATCTCATGATTACACGATTGAGAGTCTATCGGAGTGATCTTTGGACGCTCTCATTTGCCCCTATCCCATTTTTTCTTATCCAAAAAAAAAAAAAGAAAGAAAAGAAAAAAACAGTGGCACATGCAAATCATTGTCAAATATATTTGTTTTTTATTTCATCAGGCCAAGCCAAGCAAACAAAGTTACATATAATAATTAAGAGTCTGCAAGGAACTCTCTTTCTCCTGAAGTCTCATTCATTCAGCATCAGTGCTTTGCTGCTGGTTTGCCACCCTTGGCCTACAGAAATCATCAAACAAATTAGTGATTGGATCAAACTAGTTGGGAGAATGATATGTTGAGTCGAATTGAATCGAGTCTATCAATCTCCAAATAAAATGTAAAAAAAATATCAAACCCTTCTTAGTAGGTTCCTGAAAACATGCTTTATACAATCATGTCTACTTCTTCTTAGGTTCTTGAGCCTTCGGGGCAGCCTTCTTCGGGGCCGACTTTGAGGCAGGAGCTTTGGAAGAAGCATCGCCAGTCTTCGCCGGCTCTTTCTTGACCTGCCCAAAGAGTTGGGTGCCAATAGGTTTATCAGCCTTCAATGACGCCATTGTAATTCACACCCCTTTAACAAAGCTTATGTAAACAACTGGACTCAAGTATTATCTGGCCTAGAATGATAATCTATTTATAGCAGAGTTTACAACAATGAAAAAGGAATTCGAATAACAGTAAGAAAGAAAAAAAAAAAGGAATTATAATCGCAAGTTACAAAAGATGGTGGCAGTGGAAGACAATGGAACAACTGATTAGGATAGCTCGTGAGGCTAGGATACAGTATCAGATGCTTTGCTTAGCTTTTCCCCATTGGCATAAATTTTACAAGCCAATCTTTGAAGCATATCCTGCTGTATGCACAGAGCTCATTCTTTGTATTTTTTTTCTGGCACAATTGATAATTTTATGAATAAATTGAGTGTGAGGGGTGGCTCAGGCAATTTGAAACCTAAAACGATAAATGAGGCATAAGAAGGACATGCTAGTGTTGCCAAGAAAAATGTTTTACTTCGGTTTTTGTTTTTGTTTTTTACG